CACGAGGAGAAACATCTGACTGAGCAAAGACTAACTTACACAGTGGTTTGGAAGCCACGTGTTGAAAAGTGCTGGGGAAACACAGCAGGGAAAATGATAAAAAGGGATGAAAGCAGTTCAGACGGACAAAGAATGCAGATTTAAAAATGCAGACCATCTGAACAATGATGAGTGGGCAGGTTGCAATAACTTCAAGGCAGACCAAAGTTGCACAACACTCGTATACTGTAAGTTGACTCCCACAGGACATTGCCTGCAGTGATCTGAAATTGGAAGTAGGGGGGGAATTGGAAGTTGAGGTGCTGCAGAGAGCAATCTTGCAGCAGCAGAGTGCAAGTAGAAAATGGGCCAGTTGGAGTAATAGCTTTTTTCCGTGTGGTTTGTGTGAGCCAGGCCAAACCTGTGTGGAGCACAGGGCTATCGCATTCATGATTATTTATTTATTTTTCTTCAGTGTATTAGAAATGAATGGGTTTGCAATGAGATTTGGTCACTCAAGTGTGACATTATGAATCCTTTCTCTGGACACTGTTTCGAGTGCCAAAGTTCCAGGCTTTGTCTAGATCATTAAAGTAGACCGTGTTTGGAAATGTAATGCTTTGGCCTCACATTCCCAGGAGGTCAGCAGAAATGCTAGCCTGAAGTATCCTAGCTAACACCACCTGCGGTTTGTTCTCGCCTCTGCGTTGTGATAGGCAATCTCCTCGTTTGTGCTGAAACAACTGGATGCGTCACCACACTGAAGTGGATAAGGGGCTTGCCCAGTTTAAAAAAAACTAAACCAATAAACCAAACAACGCCTTGAACATACATTTCCCCCCCAACCCCCTGCTGTATCAGTTTACTGGTTCAGTTCGTAATATTCCAGCCCCGCAACACAGGGGTGTTGGCAGTGGTGGAGGCACGGTGCAGAAATGACGGATGGAGTGGAGAATGCCTTATGCCAGTGTTATTGTTGGTTTCCTTTCAATGCGAAAACACAGGCTTAGTTACAGCTTCAGTCTAAACTTTGCACTCAGCTTTGATGTACTTTAGCAGCTTGCAGAAAGGTGATAGCATATGGTGACTGTGGTTTTGGTCCCTCCTGATGGTCAGATATAATCATGCAGTGTGTTATCAGAGGTGTGTAAGCTGTTTGGCTGCAGCGTGATGAGATGGTGGCTCCTGAGGCACAGGCTGTTAATGAAATCCAAGCCTGTCCCTGCTCCTGGTCCCTTTTTCTGATCACAGCTGGCTGGTATAAGAGGCTCTTAAGTCCCACGATTAAGTGGTCATTGAAACATATGTGGTTAGAAAGAAAACTCCAGAAGGGTCTTATTTTTAATCCAGATCAGGTAAGTGATCTGTCACTAGGTAGTACACTGATTTACACTGCAGTGTAGCAACAAAGGCTGATGATGACTATGGCACAAGGAGGTGTATGAGAAGGCTTATGGTAGGCGAAGGACAGACTTTCTTCAGCCAGTTTTGCCCATACCAGTTGGTTAAACAAGTGAGTTCGTGTAAGGACACAGTGTACATGATAGTCCAGCAATGTGCTAGTGTATTTTCCCTGGAGCACAGCCACCTCAGTCAGACTTCATTTCGTTTTGGACCATGCCTCCCTCTACTAATGCACAAGCTGTCCAAAACCCCTAAGGTATTAATGGATTACAGATTTCCAAGTCTCAGTCTGACGTCCCCTACCCACGCCCTTTATGTTAATCTCTATCATCACCCTAAAGACATGTATTTAGTTGTGCCATGCATCCTCCTTCTTGGAAAATACAAACCCCTCACACCTTGGCGTGCAGACCTCCTTCATGCCACCTCAGTGTGCATGCAGCATCCATAGCAGAGGTACAACAGTCTCCTTTGGGTCTGATGGTGGGGCAACAAACAATGTAGTCCAGACACTATGCCAGTTCATACCAGCTGAGGAAAAGGTTCCCTTCTGACCTGCTGGTGTGATGCTCTTCCCTACTCCCCTTGATGATACCCACAGAGGACCATCCTTTCAAGGCTGTGGGCAGAGGAGGGCTGTCCGTCTGAGAGTTTGTGCTCCTTGCCTGGTCCTTTTGGGGACAGGCTTACTCACAGTTCCACTGCATAAGGACTTTCAATGGCAAAAGAGAAGACAGCTAATATTGCCCCCACTGTGCATGCAGCCAGGCATGGGTTTTGCTTTTGCTCTGTTAATGCTACGCTTGATGTAGCAGAAGCAGGCAGGCACATGATCTCCCCGAAGGCAGGATCCAGTGTAACTGTAGAAACTGGCCACCAGCTTCTTTTGTAGCTAGCAGCTGTCACGGTGTGGTTACAGCCAAAGCATGTCACTCGTGCAGTGTCTGCAGGCTCTGGAGTGTGTGTCTGTTTCTGAATCCTCCATGCTACAGCTTGGATATTAATTCTGCACTTTCTATCAAAGCATGCTGAGATATTTCTGAATTGTACCTATTTTTAGAACCATTTTTGATTAATATTTGATGTTTTTTCCAGGTTTCATTTTCCTTCACCAATACTTCAAGGCACAGAGGAGCTGGTAAAGGCATTGCCATGAAACCTAACTTAAAGCAATGGAAACAACTCATGCTGTTTGGGATCTTTGCATGGGGTCTCCTTTTTCTGGTGATATTCATCTATTTTACAGATAGCAACACTGCTGAGCCAGTTCCGAGTTCCTTTGCTTACATTGAAACTAAGAGGCTTCTGCCCCTTCAGGGCAAGCAGAGAGTCATCATGGGAGCCATTCACGATCCATCGTTCTCAGAAACCATTGATGGGAATGAGGTACTTCTTAATGAAGATCTCTTAGGTACATTTAAATCTGGGACTGGAAGTATTAAGAAATGGACTGATTTGGAAGATGCCTTTAGAAATGAAGATGAGTTTTTTCCATCCCAGATAGGAAGAAAATCAAAAAGTGCTTTCTACCAAGTGAATGACGATTATTTATTTGCTGCTGGTCAGCCTCAGTCACAGAACCACCTTCAAGAGATAGCAAAATTCATCTCAGCAGATGAGGATAATCCAAAAGTAAGTATTTTACAGAACAACTGGAGCCATCAGAGAAGAATGAGGAGGAGAAGCACAAAGCCGAGGAGAAGCCGGATGCTTGATGAATCTGATGACTGGGATGGGCTATATTCCACAATGTCGAAATCCTTTCTTTACAAGCTTTGGAAAGGGGATGTCTCTTCCAAGATGCTAAACCCTCGACTGCAGAAGGCGATGAAAGATTATTTGAGCACCAATAAGCATGGGGTGCGGTTCAAGGGGAAACGAAACTCCAAGTTGACAGGAGACCAGCTATTCTGTGAGCTAAAAGAAAGGGTGAATGTGAAAACAATAGATGGCAAGGAGGCTCCCTTCTCCACTCTTGGATGGGAAAAGCACGTTCCCCAAATTCCACTGGGCAAATTGCATACACATGGCTTTGGGAGCTGTGCCGTAGTTATGTCTGCTGGTGCCATACTGAACTCCTCTCTGGGGGATGAAATAGGTGGGTGAAATGCATCTGTTCAAGTGCATATATAGGTACATGTATGTCTTCATGTTTGTCTTTCAAAAGGTTAATTCTTCTCAAGCATAGGTCTGTGAAGTCTGGTTCTCTCTCAGCATTACATGAATGTGATCTTATGGAATTCAGTGAAGCTGTTCCCTTTTAGGACAATACAAGTGAAAGGAAAATGAAGCCTGGAATCATAATTTGATTTAAAGAAAACAATGATGCCTTCTTATCGTATTACAGCTTGTAGTGTAAAGGAGGCACTGGTTTCATCAGATCTGCCATATTTGACATTTTGCTGCAACATGCATTTATTTCTTCAGCAGATTAGAGACATGTTCAGGTTTTATTCTGCAAAGCTGTTTCATACCTGTGTATTTTCTTGTGGCTCATAGAAAAACTGCTTCTTGTAGTGCTGTCCCAGGCTGAACTTTGTCTCCATGCCAAGAAGCAGTAGAGCATCCTCTTCATCTCCTGCATGAGATGAAGAACTCATGCAAGATGAAGGACTCTGTACTCACAGACGTACAGAATTCAGACTCTTGAGTAACTTCATGCACTGAGATCCCCTGACCTTTTTTCCAAGAGTGATTTTAAATGAGTTCAATATCTCTTCCCATTGTTTTTACATTGCTGCAGTGTAGTCATTGAGGTTCCGGGTGTGCTGAGATGTCAGCGTCTCACAGAATTCCCCACTTAAGCTGGCATTTTTGTGGTAGTTATTCAGAAAAGGATTGTAGAGCCATAAAACTAATACAGGGTATTTTTTGCGGGGGGGGTTTCTTTCTTTCTGAAAATGAATGCTACTACTCATGTTATCATCTCAGCAGTTCTTCATTTTGGTAGTACACGTGCAGTATGCTAAGAGTGCTGAAGGAAGGATGAAATGTATGTCTTAAACTTGCTTCTGGAGCAAGAGTTATCCCCTTCAAGCTCTCTTTAAAAACCTTTTGATGTTCACTTATTAATCCTCACATCTTCCTAGACTTCGCATCCCGACTTGCTTCATTGCACTGTTACCACCTCTTTGATACAGGTGGGTTTTCTTTAAAACAGGTGGGATATATTAGAGCTGCTATCATTATCAAACTACTCTAATAGGCTTCCAGCACAGCATGGGTGTCTCGCTGGCCTGCAGCTACAGTCACACCAGGGCAACCCCCAATTTCACATGAAGCCCCACTGATTTAGAAATCTTTGGGGTGAAAAAACTTAACAGTTCCTCCCATCTCCTGTGTGTTATCCTTGACTGAAATGAAATCTGTCAGTGTTCCTCAGTACATCAATTTTACACCAGTATGAATTAGCACTGTACTGGAGAATCTATAGCACATTACATATTACAGCATGCATCATGACATATTTGCACACTCAGGTGCAGCCCAGGTGTGGACTTCGGCGCTTGACATGGTATCTGGTGCCTCTATGCTCCTGTGTGTACCCATTTTCTTGTGAATGGTCTGGGCACAGAAAGCTTATGTCCTTCTGTGAGGAGACCTTTTGGTTTAATTGGGAAGTTTCATCTGATGCGCCTAAAGGGAGGAGGAGATACTCTTTGGTAAGGCTTACACAGACATTTCAGATCTCCTCCTGCCTGTTGCAGAGTAAAGTGTGTAGGGCAGCATGAGTCACAGAAGGTTTTTTCTAAGTGTCTTCCAGGCCATGGGCAGGTACTTGTGACTGGAAAAAGAATCTGGCTCAGAACTGTGGCAGGGTTGCTGCTTACAGACATCCCAGAGGGGCCTGGTGCCAACCTATGGGTCGTAGTGGTCATTGTGGCTCCTGGGAAGTGCTAATATACGGGAAATATCATGCCAGTGTTTTCCACTTACAATGGAAAATGGAAGCTCCAGCATCTGTTCATATCATGATTCCCACAGGGAAGAAGTTATGCTTCCTTGCAGAGTTTATGTTACAGCTGAGCTCTTGGCCATGCATTTGCACCTCCTCTCTAGTCCTTGAAAAACTGAGAAGAGTGACCAGGAAGAGAAAGATCTGACTGTACAGGATGCTCTTTTTCCCTGTGCATGCACAGCAGTAGAAGGCTGTCCTTTCTCAGAGCTGGCACCAGGGCTACCAGGTCTTGGTTGGAAGTCCAAGCAGACCTGCCAGTTTGGAGGCACCATGGGCAGCTGTATGGAGTGGTGCTGCTCTATGAAGTCAGCCTGGCGCTCGTGCTGAGCACCTCTGTGTCCTCAGTCAGCATCATTAGGGAGTGGGAAAAAGCACCCCATGGACAAGTTCGGATTCTGGGGCTATGGGCTGTACAGCCTTGGTTGATGAAGTTGCTGCAGGCAAAAGGCTTTTACTATTTATCCTCCCAAAAGATAAAAAGGGGCAAGAAAGCAGCAGTGCAGGACCTCTCTCTTCATAGGCCTTTAGCTCCCTCTTCTGTGTTCATATGAGAAACGCAGGCATAAATGTTACTTGTGTTCTGCTTCTTGCCCTCTATCCCTACCACCCCAATTGTTTTTTGAATAAAAGTAGGTAGAGAAGTACTGTGCAAGTACAGCAAACATTCCCGTTGTGATCATGCTATTTACTGTGAGACCCAGTTATTTTTACATCATTGGGAAGTAACAGGGATCTGTGATCAAACCCAAACTTTATATCTTTAAAATGGTTATCTCCAATAAGATTAAAATCAGTTGACTTAAACCCAGCTATTATCAGTGTTAAGCTGTGTTCTGATCATATATTTTATGGTGAAGGAAAGGTTTTTGGTCTTGATACGAAGAACCAGCATGGGGAATGTTGGAAATGCAGCACACTGTCTCTCAGTTAAGTTGTGAACCATACCATTCCCATTTCCCAACCCAATTTCCAGTTCTCAATCAATGGATTATTAAAAAGTTATCAAATGCAGGTCCAGATGTATGTTCTTAAATTCATAAGCAGTTTTCAAGTATAAAGGATCTTTATTTCTCTTCTCCAAAAATGTAGAGTACCTGTAGCTTCTATTGACTTCATGTCATCTATCTCCTACACATTCAAGCTGCTTATATTTAGGCAGACGAAGGCGAGGTGTTGAGGCTAGGGTTGTTCCTGCATAGAGACATAGAAAAAAACTCCACTCCTTAGCTTCTGAGGAGTTGGGCTCAGTATCCATTTGGCAAAAACATCACTTTTAGACACAAAATGTTCAAGTACAGCTGAGACTGGACTGATGACTTCATGTCACACAGTGTTTTCTTGTGTGGGGTACAAGTGTGGAATAAAGATGTGCAAGGATGGAAGATCCCAGTTTGGTAGAATCAGGCCCAAACTCCATTGAGGTGTGTTGGTTATTTTCGGGAACTTCTGTCTGCTCCATTTTTTTAGCTACAGACAATGCATTTTAAGTGACTAGAGAGAAACAGCTGTAAAAACTACCTACGGGTTAAGGCATTACATGGCTTGAATCATATTTTCTGCTATCATCGATAGAAGGGATAAAAGTAGTCCAAATAGGGGTCTATCAGCAAGGACGGTGTGTTTCTGAGCAATGGATATAATATCTTACTCTCCCTCACACCTCTTGGGTTTTGAGATCCCCTTAAAAGAAGCACTGGGAGGGTGTTTATTTTTTATCCAGTTGAGGCTTGCACATAGCGTCTATCCTTGACCCATACTTAACCTATAGCTGCTTTCTGTTCTGCATGACTCAAAGGTCAACAGCTCATGGGGAAACTTTGACAGGTGAGCTTTGTTAGATCTTTCCTACCAACGGATCCCTAGATTCTGTGTGTGAGCAGGTTTGCAGGCTCACTTCCCTACAGAGACTCTCTAAGACTTATACTGACCTTGAGAATAAGTACATGGTATGATTAATAGGTTTGGGGTAATACCTGAGATTTTCAGGTATTACAGAATACTGTGAAACACAAGCTTATAGTTAAGTGTTGGTATTCATACAAATGTGTAATTAGATATCCTTGCAATTAACATGCTTTTGCATGGGGTAATTTATTATAAATTTTGCAGTAGAAATAGTGAGAAATTGTGTGTACCGGGTGTACTAATAACCTTCCCACACTGAAGTTTATGCAATTAAGAGAAATACTGAAGTATTGCAAGCTAAATTAATAGATGATTCTTAACTTTTTTTTTTTTTGGTGGATCTTAAGAATGTTATTAATGTGTGGCAGATACAAGATTTTTCTTTGCACATAGTGGAATGTTTATCATCCTTAGAACATCAAGATTAGGAGAAATGTGTAAGTTTCATGTTAGTTTAGATAATTTGGTTTATTTTTATATACTTGTATTTTTTATACTGTTCTGTATTACCAAGGGAAAAAAATACCCCCTCATTTATGCTCCTAGATTCTCATGATGCTGTTCTAAGATTTAATTCTGCTCCAACACGTGGCTATGAAAAAGATGTTGGAAATAAAACAACCATGCGGATCATTAACTCTCAGGTAAGATCTTCCTTTTCTGAATTCAAGTCAGTGTTACTTCTGTACAATATGACATTAAATTAATAACTTCTGAGAAAGTGTTGGGTAATTTGGGAAACAGCTAGCGGTTTTACAGTCATGATGTAGAGCAGGTATAAGTTCTTCATTACGGGGATGTTCACGCTGCTGGCAATGTAGAGTGATTGCAATAGTTACTTGATATCCTTGTTTCAAAGAATTGGTTTGTAAAGCTTCTCATGTGTCCTACATCTGTAAAGGCTCAGCAAGATGCCAGAGCCATCAGTACAGAAGACCTTCACCACACTACCTCCAGGATCTTCACAAAATGTGGGCTCTGGGGATCCCAAAGCTCTTTTCTCATATTCTCCAGTCCCCCAATTATTTCCTCACTGGAAAGCAAAAGAAATGGGAACTGAGTTGTCTTAATATATATAATTTTCGGCAAGTTGTCATTCTTTAAAAGTTTGGAATGAAGTAGTAAAAAACTTTAAAGTACACTGGGTATTACACATAAATGAGTTTGTTCATCTGAATGGAAACAGAAAATGGGATTTTCTGCATATGGGTGTCCACAGGTAATTGTGCATTGAGCTACAGTGACACCTTATGGTTGAGAGTAGTTTTTCAATTTTGAAAAAACCCTATTGCCTGAACTATGGTCATGGGCAAACCAAGCCTCTTTGCTTTTTATCAAAGGCAGCCAAAAAGCAATAACAGAGCTATTGTGAAGCTTCATGACATACTGAAATGCTGAGTTTACTTAGTCAATACCAGTAGAATGGTTGGTCATGTAGCATGCTCTCGTATGAGAGCAAAATTTTAATTTATTGTAATTCTTCAGAATTTGGTTTTTATTTCTTCTTTGAGTGACTGCCCATGCAAAGTCCATCTTTGCTGGGTGTGTTCTCTGTGTAAGTCCATGTTCTTTGCCACTGCAGAAAGGATTGTTCACTGTCATTCCCTTCGCACTTGTTTCATAGCTCTTTGTGAGGCAGCAAGACACACTAGATCTTTGAAGCGATCTGGGTTAAATATGCCCCTTTCTTTGCTCAGGGGAAGAGAGCAGAAATATCTTGCTCTGGCCTCAGTGCTGAAACCAGTGTATCAGACAACATGCCAGGGCATGGCTAAAGTCCAGGCCAGGTCAGCTCATACAGCTTCCTCACATATGTTGTATTCCCACTGTTGTTCTGCTCCTTCAAAGAGGTCAGAAGCCACGTGTGAGAAGAACCTGGCCTTCCTGTCTCCAGGAGTGAAATATGCACAGGCCACTTGATGAAAGTTGCTTTCCCTATCAGTACTGAAGGTGGGTTATCCATACAGGTTTACTCGGCCTCCTTCCCTCCTTGCTGTTGGAAATTCCTGCGTTCAGTTGTTTAAGGACGAAAAGGAACCCAGTGTGGCCATAACGGATACTGTTACTCCAGATGAAACTCATCTCATACACATGAATGCAGACTCACTAAGAGTGAATAACTGTGTGGATAACACCTCCAAAAGACTCTTGCTTACTAAAAGGCAAGTAAGAGCTCCTTTGTGGAACCAAGCTTTTAAAAGCTTGACCTTTTAGTCTGTTTACTCTGTACTCTGAAAAAAGGAGTTTACGTTCTCAGGCAAAAACTGCTTTGAGAAATGGAGCTGGGGAGATGCTGATGGCAGCACGACTAATTCTGTTCTTGTAGAAGGCTGATAAAAAGTCATTAAGCTCAAAGTTTATGGTAGGAAGAATATTGCTATGGCAACAATATTATTTTTCTGAAGAAAAATATGCATAATCAAATATGGCTCATTGGATCCTAAAGGGAAATGAAAATTAGTATGAATTTATTTGTCTGGAATGTTGATTAGTTTAACAGCTGGAGCCAAATTCATGCTGTTTGAACCAATGCTGAAATCATTCAGCTCAGTCCTGCCTGAGACTGGATGCACCAGGGATCAGAAAGATCTGGCTAGGCATGGAGGGTCCAGAAAGGGATGAGCCAGCAGGAGTGAAGAGTAAACTTCCAGTGGGGCAGCAGGATTAGGCCGAGTACCAGGAGATGCAAGGAGATACATTAGAGCAGTAGCTCAGAGCAGTACGACAGTATGACAGTTACTTCAAAAATAGCCCTATCACATACCTGTTCTAGAATTATTTTTCTAGGTATACCAGGTTTTACAGTCATGGTGTAGTTTGCAGTTTTGGAGCTACCTGAAATGAGACTGACTTGCTGTTGAAATGAGAAAGCAACCAGAAAGGTGTGGGGGCAAGGAAAGACATTATCCAGTGGGGCTGTAGCCCTTCAAAGAAAGAAGAGGATCCCGCAAGTGGCCTGAAACACTGTAGCTTTTGTTTTCAAGTTCCAGAATACACAGTAGTGTTGATATACAATTATGGAGCATCTCAAGTGGTCCCATCACATCCCTCACAGATGGAGAGTAATTCAGCATACTGCTACTTCAAACTGTCATGAGTGCTGTTTATGGCTAAGTTCTTCTTTATGGTTTGGGGTTTTTTTAACAAAACAAGATGCTTAAAATCAAGCAGAATTAAAGCAGAACAAACAGCAGCATGGGAAGGACTGTTCATTTCAGAGAAAGATTCTGCCATTTTTCTGGATCCTACTTGCTTTTAATGATGCAAAATTCTTTGCATTTGTGTTCGCAGATTCTCACCAATCCAAACCATCACTTTGTTGACAGCTCCTTGTACAAAGATGTTATCTTAGTAGCCTGGGATCCTGCCCCCTACTCTGCAAATCTGAACGTGGTAAGATGCCTGCTTGGACCTTTTTTCCCAATCAGTCTGAAAAGACTGGAGAAAATGAATGTATTTAGTACTGGAGTCTACTGGTTCTCACTTGTCACAATGAACTCCAAGGTCTGGCTTTATCCAAGGAGTGGGGAATGTCATTACTGCAAGAATTGGTCAAAATTGGTTTACTGGTCAAAAGCTTTGTAGTAGGCAGCATTTGTACTGCAATGGACTGCTCTGAGATGCTAGGATAAATGGATGATGTTGGGGTTTTTTATATAAAATATTGCTGTTTTCACATAACAGTGAGTTTTCTGGGTGTTTGCCAAGGAGGGAACATTGCTAGATTTCAGATGGAGTTTTCATCGGGAAAGGTGAAGAGCTGCACTGTTTTTCCCCACCTTCCCCTCTCCTTCGCTGACAAAATAAAACACCCTAATGAAAATTTCTCTTGGCGCCTTCCCCATTTCTCAGGCCTCCTCCCCACCAGTCTTCCCTTCGTGTCCACTCCCCCACAGCCATCTGTGTCTCATCATCTGCCCCCTCACTGAGAGCAGCAGACATCCATCTGGTTGTCACTGGGGGAGTCTCTGCTTTGGCTGGTGCTGCAGCTCCAGTGGACCAGTTGATCTGATGGTTCCTGGCAGGGGAACCTTGGAGCCGAGAGGGTTGCAAATTAGAAAGTGAATCTTCATCTGCTGAACTCTCTTAGCAACAGATGCCAGAGGCTGCCTGCCTCCTACACAGGCTGCCGTCAGCCTCCCTCACGTGCTGCTGCTGCCTCCATCAGGGACAGGGACACATTCAGAGGAAGGTTCACCCCCACACTGGGTTATCTTGTGTCAAGGCTCTTCAAACCCCTTGTTTAACATGTGCCTATGAGGAAGAGATGGGGTTGGCTCATCCCACTGCAGTGCAATTGTGTATTGGGAGTCTCTGTATGAAGAAAGGAAACAGAATAACCCAGAGTGAGCACTGGCTTTCTAGGAGGATCATCCACCAGTGCAGACTGCTTTGCTACCTTTCCTTCTGTTCTGAAGAACCCAAATGTTATTGTACATGTAGTGTTCAAAACACATTTGATACTATAAGATTTTAAATAAACACTACTTTTTTTTTCCTCCCAGTGGTACAAGAAGCCAGACTACAATCTGTTCACTCCCTACGTACAGCATCGCAGGAAGAATCCAAATCAACCATTTTACATTCTCCATCCAAAGTTTATATGGCAGCTCTGGGACATCATTCAGGAGAACACTAAAGAGAAGATACAGCCCAACCCTCCTTCTTCAGGTTTTATTGGTAGGTGTATCAAAAATGGGCCCAGTAGACATGTTAGATTAAAAGTAAAATTAAAAAATCGTAAATGTGTGTGTTGCATGAGGGTCAGGTCCATACACATGTACTCTTTGTTCTTGGTACTCTGTACAAAAACAATGACTAGCTAAATCACACGGCATGAGAACTAGAAAATAGTTGTTGAATTTAATGCTCTGCTTTCTTGCCCTTCACATCCATAGTATGAATACCATATTTATAAAACATACATATATATGTGAGAAATTTATAGTATTCCGTATTAATTTATCAGTTGAGAATCTACTCAATTCTGACGTTTTTTGTTGGGATCACAGAGTAGACATGCATCAGAAAACAAGTGAAAACATGTGGCAGATGATACAGAGAGGATGAAATCACTGACAGGCCAATTTGTATTCCCTAAACAGGTCAAAGAATGGGTTTGGTGGGACACTGGACCACGGTGCCCCAATTTTGGTCAAAGAATGGGTTTGGTGGGACACTGGAACAGGTTGCCCAAGGAAGTTGTGAATGCTGCATCTCTGGTAGTGTTCAAGGCCAGTTTGAATGGGGCCTTGAGCAACCTGGTCTAGTGGAAGGTGTCCCTGCCTGTGCTACAGGGGGTGGAACTAGATTGTCTTTAAGGTGCCTTCCAACCCAAACCATTCTGTGATTCTGTTATTATGATTTCCCATGCCCTGCCACAAATTCCAGTGGCACAAATTTAAGTCTGAATGTGCCCAAAGTATCCCTCCTCTTCTTACACTTGAAGGAGTAGAGTTTCAGTGCAGGTTTTTTTTTTGGTCCTTCCTTAGTATTTCTTGGGGGATAATTTGCCCCTGTGCCCACAGTGCATACAGCATGATGACTTACCTGATGCATAGCAGGTCCTGATTGTGAATGTATGAAGGATGCAAGCAGTCAGAATAGCAAGGCTGAGACAGGATCTTCCTCACTTATGCTTCTAGAGACACAGAGGGTAATAAAGCTCTAAATACCATCTTCCACTTTGGAAACTCCATCCTTTCTTCCTTGACATTGTGATTCTGGTCTATGTATTTGCTGCAGTCAGAAAATGCTCTTTTATTCTGTCTGAAAGTGAAGATACCTGAGATTGCATCCAACGTGGGAAAACAGTTCTGAGTACTTATCTTGGCTCTATATGCAGTAGTGGCATCCCAGGATATTGTGAAGCTCACGAAAGGCCTTAGTGAGGGTGCTGAAGCTTTCAAAGGAATGACCATCGGATCATGGTAGATGCCCATCAATGATCTGAGTGGGTTGTGCTTACCTGCAGCATGAGTGGAAAGAGGAGGCCTTGTGTGTTGGAGGAGGATAGCTTGTCAGTTTGTTACTTCCTGAAGTGAGATTTTTGGAGCCTGCTTGTGAAAATTCATAAGACGACTACTGGTGGAATGATCTCACCAGCTGCATTCACATTTTGCAAAAGCATTTCTTAGAGTAATGAAGTTGTTGATAAAAATAGGTTAACAGCTGCTGATTGTAAGAATAGTGAAGAGGATCATTGTGCTGTCAATCTGTACTTCTACCATATATAAGAAACACTTCAAACGCTTTCTTTGAAGAAATGGAGTTCATTTCACTATAAGAATAGAAAAGTAATCTTCAACCCCAAATCTAAATGTCCCTGACAAAAAATACCCTTCAAGCAGAGAAAGCTTTGAAAATGCCACATTAAGCAAGCAACAACATTAACAACAAAAGCTGTATAGATAAATATACTCTGTGTGTACAAATGCAAATTTGTCTCCTTCTCCTCTGCTGGGGATTTTATTTATATTGTTCTTTTTCAAAGGATATGCTTAGACTTTTGGTAATGCTAGTGTTAGCTTTAAGAAAGCTAGGCAGTAAGGCAAGCTTATTGGGAGTCATATCCACCTCATTTGATAGCTAGCTGCTGTTCAGATAGATGCATTTAAAATCCTTTGTTGGGGAGAGGCTTCCTATTTTGGTAATGTTATTGAATGGATGCCTGTGCATTGCATGTGTAACATAATAAAAACTGGGAGACAGCACAGAAATAGCAACTGCATATTGTCAAAGGTGAACATAAAGGACAAGATAAAGCGTAAATATACAATGTAGCTTGGCAGAAATCTGAAAAGTCATGTTGGTCTTCAAATCAGATATCTCTCAACAACTCATGGAGTAAATAATCCAGTTGGGAATGAAGCTGGCAGACACAACCAAGTGCACCTGTGTAAAAGGTGTATCCTGAATATTGAGCTTCTACTTGATTCTTCTAAAATCTATAGAATCATTTCCTATATAATTAATAGAAAGAATGAGTAAGTGATCATCATAAAATATGAGTGTCTTAATTTCAAGAAGATAAGGGGAAAATGATTTATTAAATGGTCACACTGCTAATACTTTTGTGCTCAAAACAGCTATATGAAGGAAGATAGACTGTTGTTAAACAGAGGGTATGAATTTTCATGGGCAGAGGGACCTGTAGCCCTGAATCTAAGCTCTTTATAGCATGGACTATAGTGACTCTAATCACTTTATTCTAATAACTTATTGTAAGTCTGTGTGCAATGCTCTGTGATTAGAGTGAGCGGAGACTGTGCAAAGATCTGGTTTGGCCACGTTTACACTGGCACAGTCAGGCAGCCCTCTGTGAGCCGTGGTTACTTGTGGAGGAAGAGCAGCAGATCCTCAAGTCACTGTTGCTACCAGTAATGTGGAAAGGTAAAAAAACCAACCAACCAACCAAACAAAAATGGTTCTGAGTGAAGTGAAGCACTTTTATTTCAAGATTTTTAACTCTCTGTAGTCCCAGTTTACAAAGTTGGAGAAATGTATAAATTAAAACATGGAAATGTCAGACTTTTTCCTTTCAGGAATGTCAGGAATATTTTAGGGTGGTCTTAGACTGTTTCTTCAGTAATTGCTTTTCTCACCTGGCAATTGTATCTATTTCTGCCACTTAGCACTATTTATAAATAGGTGAGTCTTCCCAAAGGGAGCATGCTTGGTGGAATGTGTTCTCATGGTGTTTTGCTCAGTGAGTCAGCATCCTTCAGCAGTGACTGATGTCAGGGGAATCTTTTAACGCTGTTAATAGCTGTGTTAACATACTAAAGTCACAATGTTATTAAGTCTTCTGGAAAAGGGGCCAGTGTGTCATTTATGGGGAAGAGGTAGTCTCTCACATCCTATGACTTCAGGGGAATGAGTGAGAAGAAGAAGGACCTTTTCACTGGTTTCTCCATTGCGTGGAAGCTAGGAAGAAGATTCTTTGCACTTCCTTTGGGATATGGGATGTCCTGTCTTGGCATAAGTCCCTCCTGGAGCTCCTGGCTCCCAAAACCCTATGCTGAGGTGAGACAGTAGCATTGTGATAGCTGGTAGTTGGGGTGAGGGGAGTGTGGTGCATGTCCCAGGTGTAGAGGAGAGGAGGGGAGAGGACAGGATGGGGAGAGAAGTGTGGCACAGAGCAGCATTGGTGGTGCTCTGCAGATTACGTACAAAGTAAGGCATAAGTCTGTCACTGCTTCCAGCCGCTTCTGAAAGGATAACATGCACACTATGGAGGTTTAAAACCAGATGAGAGGAATATTACCCAATACAGATCAGCATCCTCCAAGATCAGAGTTTCTCCTTCTTCAGGTTTTAACCTATAGATGTTCCTTTCTTTGGTTTTCTTCTAAGCAGCTTATCAGCTCATGGAAGCTCCTCCATGGCCAGTGTCAGCGCTGCACCTTAATACTGCATGCAGACCCACATCTCATCTTTTCTGCTAAATTTGTTTAAACTTTAACACTGTTTTCTACCCAACTTAGTGATAGATATGAGTTCAGGACATCATTGACAGGAGGCTGAATTCATTGTCTTGTCAGATTGTGGCCTGTTTGTTAGGTGTTACTTCTGAGGGTATACCATGTCAAGGAAGGATTAACTTGTCGCAGACAAGTCACCCTTTAGTGTGGTATTTTCTGGCTCAAAGGCTATGAATAGTGACTAAGAAAACACAGAGACTGGGGTTTGGGTTTGTTTGGGTTTTTTTTGGGGGTGGGGGGAGGAAGGTTCACTAGGGTAAAATAAACCTTTTATTTCAATCTAGGTGTCTTTTTTGGCTTGTTTCCTGAGTCACCAGTGTGAGCTTTCCCTGGCTTGCAACTTTGCCTTATGTGGCATGTCATAGCTTAGCTAATGTCACTCCTCATTATAAACTATTTACTCTTTGTCTTCTTAATCTAATCCTTAGATGAGCTTTGAGAACCCATTCTTGTGTATTTTTGCATCATTTCTGCAGCTGCCACGTTCATGCTTTTGAACAAAACTGCACAGTATTACGGTCTTGCATTAGCCTTAGATGATTGCCATGGTGGCTTTTTGCAGTTAAATTTGTTGGTTCACATTTGGCTGAAAATTGTGTTTGCTAAATGAGTATTTATATGTTTACATCATGCCTTTGATCTATTCCATTTTTCTCAGAAGAAATGTAAACATCCAGACACCGAGTCTTGAGCTTGGATTCCACTGGCAAATCCTAAATTGACAGTTGAGAAAACAGCACTGTTCTTAGAGAAGGATTTGCTCTATCTTTTGGCATCAGAAACAAGTGTTACCTCTTCACTTCCTACCAATACATTTTTCACTGTGAAGTATGAACTCAGTCTTCCGTCTCTCTTTCGGAACATACCAGTGCTGAGTTTTTAATTGAGGCTGGTGGTGTATAAATTGGCAGTCTCTATTTTTACCACTCTGCTGCAAGAAAACTGTTCCTATATCCTCTCTGGTAGCCTGTGTAAACAACCTAGTGATGACCCTACATTTTTATTTCTCAAGAGCAGCATTCTGTGTGCATTGGATTGTATATTAGCATTTGGAAAGGTTTCAGGCTTTTTAATAATGTCTAGATTATACATAGGCTTTTCTATGAAGATTTTGCTCCTGTCTGTTGTTTACTAACTGGATTTGCTATGAATTCTTACTTGTCAAAGTCCACCAATACACCTGGCTAGCTTACATCT